GAGCACTGGATGAGGGTCTATCATCTATGGTCTGTTATAATTTGCTTTTTATGCAAATAGTGAGCAAAAATTAAAGCAAAACTGTACAAGTTACATATATAGTACTATATCAGTACTATACACGAACTTTTATCGATGGATAATTTTGCGAGTTTTCATCCAATTCAATCATATATATATATGCTCAAAATCTTCGCGGTAAGTTTATCTTTACCATAAAATTTGACCGAATAGGTTTCAAAACAATGCGACGGCAAAAAATGCAAAAATCCTGATTTTCGTAATAGAATTTATAGTCTTTTTGCCCTGTTGTACCGCCATCTTGGATTTATCATGTAGCCCCCCCCCCCTGCGCTAGGTATGCGTTAGCAATCTAGATCTCCTATATCTATGTGCACAACGCATGTTTGTGAGTCTACAACGTATATTTATACTTGTTAATTAAAAAGTCAAACTGTCAAACCTTTAACTTGTCCTTGCTTATAATCCACTATATTGTATAAATTCGCTGGGTCCAAATTTTGGGGTTTTCGGGTCGTTACACAAAAAAAAACACATTTATTCAACACGCAAGGGAGTCCAGAGTGCGACACAATGTATTTTTCATAGGAAACTGGCACAATTCTTTGAAAATTCAACAAAACTGTGTGAAATATATATTAGCTAGATCGCTCAGTGAAATGCCGCCATTTTGAAACTGAACTGAATATGTCACTGGAGCTCTCTATCCTTGCAGTTCGGAATTGAGCACGTGCGTACAAGAGGGCCCTGAAGAGTAAAATGGGAACTGGGATTGATCTATTTTTAGACTGGGAAAATGGGATTTGGGTTGCTGGGACTGGGATTTGGCCACTGGGAATGGGAAATGAAGTCCTCAAAAATGGGAATGGGATTGAAGTATTGTGAGTCGATTCCCAATTTTGATCCGTTTTTGGTGTCTTTAGTCATGATTTTTGTTGTTAACTATATTATTCAAAGCATTACCTGCGAACAGACATACACTGGCGCCCACTTTTGGGTTTTCTGATTATGCGTGTCTCAGAATGATGCAAATGCCGGCCATTTCCGGGATTCAAATTTAAAAATTTTCCGTGCCTTCGGCAGGAGCCCCCCCCCCCCCCCCAATATTTCATAAAGTGTCCGCCACTTGCACACACGGTGGCTTAAAAAGTCTTAAAACTGTTTAATCTACCGATAAATAAAGGTTTTTTTATTGACTGGGATTTCTAATAAAAATCCAACTGGGACTGGGATTTTGCCAAAATTTCAGGTGGGAAATGGGATTGGGACACCCCCCCCCCCTTTCAGGACCCTCGTACAAGTGTATGGGCTAATAAACGAAAAATGTACCGCAAGCATGGCATGAGCCGGCTATTACGTACATAAATACGAGTTTGTTACTGTAGTATATAAATCATGCAACCGAGGAATCGACGGCATTTTGGCTTAATCGTTGCAGCCTGAGCCTGCAATGAGCTAACGCAAACTCGATTTCTCGATTACCAAAAAAACAGGGGAAAAAACAGAAAAAGAGGGATTTAGGACACTTGGCCTACAGTCCAGTGTAATAAGTATGGCGGATTTTGAAAATAAAACTTGCGCCTAAATAACTTCCACTTTATTTACTAGCGGCTATATCGAGGAATGCACATTTGCCCGACGGCGCATGTGATGTCATAGTATCACCATTATGATGTCATAGTATCAACCATGAATGATGTAATCAAAACAAATTCGCGTGAATATTAAAGTATTAGCACTAATTGTTGTAATTTCAACAATATTTGAAATAATATGCAGGTGTCGATTTTAGTGAAGCATCGCACTTTAAATGGTTTGTGTTTGCTTCTTTTACTGATCGTGCTTAATCACAGTGTTCATTGAGCTAAAATAAATACATAGAAATGTAAATCAAATTCTGGAACTCGCCATTGAAATGTCGAAGTTGATTTAATGTCGAAGTGTAACAGAGATAAGACTAGAAAGTTCTTCGCCAATGATAAAGACAGAATACTACAGGGTATACACCACACAAACGTTTTGCTTGTGGCAGTGCATAGACTTACGACACAGGGAGCACTTGCCCACCCCCCTCCAAAAAAAAATTCATGCTAGGAAAATTAAAGAAATTTCGGGCAGATTTATCAGAACATATGTAGAGTTAAATTCTGTTTATTTCATTACAATGCTCTTAAACTACCCCTCCCCCCGGAAGATATCAGCACCGTACGCCTATGTGAATGGGGCTGGGTGCCTACATGTGGGGGGGGGATATTTAAAAAATAAAGTGATTTATCCATATAGACATAAAATGTCAACAGTCTAATCTCCCAGATCGAATGGAGGATTTTCCCGTTCGTGGGACTTCTGATTTCAAAATTGTCTGGGGACTTAACGTACCTCATGCAGTACTATACAATGGAAATCACGAGAGCCCCAAACTAATATTTTGACCCAGGTTGGGGCAAGGATTCCAATTCCCATCGACAGGTACAATATTTAATGTACGCAATAAACAATAATGAAGTTATAATAGGTTTTGTTTGTGGAAACACCACGTAAATTTATTACTGCAAAGCTTTCGATCCGTAAACTTAATAATGAAGTTATACATTAATATTATGAAATCACAACGTAAGTTTCAGCAAAGCTTTCAGTATTCAAAGTTCTAAATTATACCCGGATTTAATTAATAATCAGCGTGATTTACAAAGAAATATAGATCACATATAGATCCATACTAGCAATATTTGCATTTAACTTGTCATGACGATACGACGTTTGAAACGAAGAAGCGCTACAGCCCACAGGGCCTGAACAGGACGAATTTATAATTCCTTTTATACGACGCAATACCAAAAATTAACCCATTTATTTCTTTTATTAAATTAGTCCGTATTCCGACTAAGTTATTTATGCTATATGGTGTAAATTTTCTAGAATTATGACTGATGAAAGAAACCAAAGTTGGTCGTAGATTCTACTTAAGTTTAAGCCTTCACACGCTGCACTATTATCAAACATTATATCAACAATTATATCTTATCATTTATCTTAATCAAGTAAGTGATATATATGCACTACACAACTACAAAATAGAACTATAAATTACGCATGTTCCTTGTCCTATTAATTCCAAGTTTTTAAAAAATACTTTAAATAGTTATTAGTATTAATTATATCTGCTACATGCTAACGTCTGCTACATGCTACATTATTGTATTATAATCATGGAATAAAATCATCAAGGAAATTGCTGAGAAAAATCAGCGGACAACGAAATTAATATCTTTCAGGTTTTGATCATAAAGTTCAAAATTACAGACCAAATTCAATCCAGATATGGTCTGGAAACTCTGACAAAGTCTTTCTTCTATCTTTTTCTTTGTTTTTTTTTTAAACTTGTATCCGGTGTTATTTTTGCCAAAATAAAACAATCATCCGATGGCGTTTTCACGTCGAATCACTCATGAGAACCATATTAATCGGCAAATATTAACAAATAAAATTTCAGACGATTTGTGCATAATGAGTTGTCTCAACATAAATACTCGTTCATTATAGCGAGTTTGAAATTTTCAGTGTTTAGTGTTTCAGTGTTTCCATACCATATCATATCATGATTAAAGGACACTGGGACTAAAAATTTAATTTGACTCATTTGAAAGAATGTTTAAGATTGTGTATTAACTTTCTGTTGCAGATATTTTATATCCGACTTAACAATTGGAATATTTTGCCTGAAAGCAATAAGGTGTCGGCCATCTTGGATTAATTCTTAAAAAACTCATTAATAATTCAGGAGCAAAACACAAAGAAAAATCATAAGCGTGTCGTGGTTTTAAATGTGATAAAGAATCATGTTAATTTACATAAATTTTAGCTTTGATTTTCTCGGTTTAGACAAAGTTTATTGAACTCGTATAAGATGAGTCGTCTTTTAAGCCATTTAAAGCACTTGTAGTCGTGTTTTATCACATATAAAACACTCCGCTACGCGTCGTGTTTTATATGTGATAAAACACTCCCACGCGTGCTTTAAATAGTACTTAAACCAGACTTAATAACCTCATTAACTATGGTTTTGATGACCTCAAAGTGATGTTAGCCTTTTCAATTCGAAATTTCAAATAGCAGCATGCAAGTTCGAGTTTTTGCTTGGCTGATATCAATGACTGGCTGTTATGATAACAATTCTGCGTGACTTCACTTGTGATATAACATATATATCCTGAATAATCCAAGATGGCGGACTGCTCGCAAATTTCAGTCAAAATTTCTTTATTAATTATTTTAAAAGTTCTTTCAAACGAGGTAAAGTAAATTTTTACTCCGAATGTCCTTTAACCAGATAGTATTAAATCCCAGTTTCTCCCTGGTTTGCGTAAACATTTTGTAGCACTTGATTTAGATGACCATATATATGATCATCATTTCCTTCTCCAGGACCAGGCCTTTTGAGAGCTGTATACGTCGACTGTTCATCGTCTACTTGTCCATAATTGCTGACAGGAGTATCATAAATGTGTCTTGAATTATTTTCGTCATTAGTGGTTTCCACATTTGTTTCAGTGTTTGATGATTTGGGTCGACGAGTTTGATAGATAAAATAAACGATAATAACAAATGAAATGACCAGCAGAATTGCTAATGCTATAATTCCAATGAGGTATTTTTCAGAAGCATCATCATGATCGACCATGCCTGAAACTTGACCTGAAACTTAAAATGATTAAGAGGTTACATGCATGATGCATTTTTATCAATTTACAAATGATTTCTCTTGCTACTCTGCGGTTTAACTAAATAAAGGTAATAATAAATTTGGTTTACCTTAAGCCCGGCGCACACTGGAGCTATCAGCTGAGCTGAGCATCACTCGTGACTGTTGGTGTAAGCAAGTTCCCCCAGTGTGCGGTGGCGTTTTGAGCGATTTCAGCCACGCCTGCCATAGGCACCGAATATTCAACATGTTGAATAATTTCAGTCACGAATGAACATTTCCCCCAAGTGTGCGCGCTCGAAAAGCTATCACCTTTCATTGTATATCGAATAGGCATGCGTAATAAAACATAAGACAAAAGGAAAATAATTAATGAGGAATATTCATATGTCGCTATTCAATTATCACATTCCTCATTAATTTAAATTAATTATTTTCCTTTTGTCTTATGTTTTATTACGCATGCCTATTCGATCTACAATGAAAGGTGATAGCTTTTCGAGCGCGCACACTTGGGGGAATGTTCATTCGTGGCTGAAATTATTCAACATGTTGAATATTCGGTGCCGATGGCACGCGTCGCTGAAATCGCTCAAAACGCCACCGCACACTGGAACTTGCTTACGCCAACAGTCACGAGTGACGCACAGCTCAGCTGATAGTTCCAGTGTTCGTCGGGCTTTAACCGAGCGAGAACATGAATGATATTATACACGCATGTAGCAAACCCCTCGGCCTCGCCTTTCGTAACAGATGAAAGTATAAAAACTCCACATAAAGTATTAAGACCATTATATAAACAAACATGAAAGCACTGTCTACTGAGCGCCAGCTTAATGAGCGATAACATTCACTGCAATATCATATATACCAGCTTGCACTAAAACATATTGTTTATTCAAATCTTGTATGACGGAACTTTCTCTAAGCCGCATTTTATTAATACTGTGTTTGAATAATTAGATCATAGGCTTAGTCAAAAAAAATTATTTTAATAACTATGTTTCGGAGTATAACTCCATCTTCAGATTGAAAGTGACTAAAGATAAGTCATTCGTATTCCGAATGTAGTTATTAAAATAATTTTTTTAACTAGGCCTATGGTCGAATTATTCAAACACATTATTTATTGTGAATAATCGAGTTGAAGAATCGCTTAAAGATGTGAATAAAATCGAAAACATGCACAAAGCAAGTGGCATGGAATTTTACTACTGAAATGATTGCACTAACCCACCCAAACCGGCACAACAATGATTAAATTATTAAAAACATCAACATCAAAACAATTATTATAAACATCTTTGTTTCACGTTTGAACAGCCACTAATTCATGACACTACACGATTATTTCCAGTTAAACTAAAAAAGAACAGTTTTTGCGAAATTTAAAACAAAAAAATGCTGTAAAACAGCAAAATACGTCCCTTCAAAATGAAAAAAAATGTTTAATTGAACAGACATTCTTCTCGCGCATCAGTGCATAACGTCAAAAACCGTCCATGAAAAACGAGGACAACTTTGCACTTCGCTATGTTTTCACATACCCGGGTATAATTAGCCGTGCGGAATTAGTACCCTTGCTCTGGCCTTGCGCGCGGAACGGCGATCCGCGCCGTTGGCTCGGGGATAAAGTTGGGAAAGCAAAATTACGTGTATAAAATTTCAAGCGTATACGCCAAATGGCAGTATCAAATTCAGAAAAAGAAATGTCGTTATAGAGACCTTAGAACCACAAACAAAATCGCGATATATACATGTTAATTGCACTTACTATCATTTGTAAAAAATCCTTTACATCCACTGTAGCTTCCATGACCAACTTTAGTTCTTGCAAAAACACGAATATAATATTTCGTTGATGCATTCAAATTGGTTACGAGCCACTCGCTTTTACTTGTGACAATTGTTTGAAAGCAAGGACCATTTTCTGAATGTGAAACACACGCTGTACAGCTGATAATGACACCATTTTGTTTAGTTGTCTCGGGAGGGTCCCAAGCGAAAGACAATGACGATGCACTTCTTGATGTGGTTCTGATGTTCAATGGAGGACCGCTCGGAGCTAAAGCGTATATAGAACGAAGGTTTTTATTTAGTACTTATGTACCTGAAAGTAGACATTTTGAATGTATGAGGAGCCAGATGAGGACACTTTTCATGACTGTAGAAATTGTGGAAACTATACTGAGTATCTTAATTCGATATAATATCAGTAACTTAGAAAACGATAAACATTTTGAAAAGTATTGATTCGACGTTTTGATAGATGTGAACGAGTTTTTTTCGAAACGTTTGGTCGTGAATGTCGACGTCACTTTCTTCGAACAGTAGCGAGCAAAAAGACTGGAAACAGTTATTTTTAAAAAATATAGAACACATTTTAAAGACATTACCACTTTAAAATACGCTCAGCCTCAGAGCAAGCGTTTTCTAAGGTTTCTGTTCACGTTCTTTGTGTTTTTTTTTGCTGTTGGCAACAATGCTTCAAAATTAAGTGGAAAGCGATTATTTAAAATGTTTCTGACAATATTGCCATGCACTAAATATGCAGTCTTGAATAGAACACGTTCTAGCTATATAACAGATATCTTCTATAACACTCACCTTCTTCTGATGTAGAGAACGAAGAAATGATCCCATCACCAAAACCGACTTGGTAATTTCCAGTAGCGACATATATTTCATATGTAGTATACGGAGTGAGATTATTTATTTTATATTTATTCACTTTTGGCGTGGTAATGCTCAGGATTAGAGAATTATCTTTCTTCAGTTGAATCCACAAATTTGTAAGACTATATGTTCCTCGATTTTTAGGATTTAGCCAACATATATCAGCACTTCTAGGGGTGATGTCAGTGACGGTGAGGTTTGTAGGTTTGTCTGGCAATGCAGCTAGCGGGAAAAGTGCAAAAAATTGTTATATGTAAAGTGTTTAACAGTGGCGGAAACTTTGCGGAATATTGGGGGACGAGCGAGTGCCAAGGCACGAGATTTCTAGGGGGTATGGGCGGATACTCCCCAGAAAATTTTTAAAATTTGGATCCCTCAAATGGCATGTGCAGCATTCTGAGAGCACATTTTGTAAGAAATTTCAGGTTTTCAAAATATTAATTTAGTGGTGCATTTTCTTATAAATCATATGCTAAGCATAAAAAAATGACATTTGAGAGAAAATATTCTAGATGATTAAATACATTTGCGAATAGAATTGCAAGGTGGTTTTACACTTTCTCAACAAGTCCCACGTATTTGTATGTTTATATCTTCGATTCAGTGCATGCTATGAAGACAATAATATACCACCATTCGATTCATTGAAGTAATTAAGTAATATCAAGTAATTAAGTAATATAAAGTAATTGTAATATTTATGTTGCCTTAAAACCCTATTTGACTTTAGGCCATATTTTCGCAAAGCCAAAAGTTCAGTAAAAACAAATCAGAAAATTATGCTGTTTTTTCTATACCATGCGGTGACTGCCAGAAAGAGTATTTGGGTCAGTACACGGCTAAAAGATCATCAAAAGGCTCTTTCAACTTTAGACAAGGGGAATTCATTTTAGCAGAACATGTGTGTGACACCAAACACGAGATTGCGTGGGAAATCTCTAAAGTAATTACTAATTACCACAAACAATCGCTATGGTCAAAGACTATGCCTATATAGAAGCGTGGCATATAAATATGAGTAATCATGCTTTGAATAGGGATGACGGTGCCTAATTGCTAGAGGAGTACATGCATTGGCAGTGTAATATCCTATGTTATCACGTGTGGGTAACGTGACAAGTAGGGAGAGATAGAAAGGAGAGAACATGGAGACTTGAGAATAAAAGTTGTATTGATGTTCAAAGAGAATATTACAATGGCGACGAGGATCTATTAACACAAACAACAAAACAATCCAGCGCAAGATCTTACTCAAGTCAGAAAGATCAGTGCACTCTTGTGTCCATACTCAGAAACATCAAGCCGTTCTAAGGCGAAAAACGTACGCTAGGCGTTTACACGTGGCGGGAAAGCAAGCAAACAAAACGCTTTAAATTCTCGATTCAACGGCTAAAAACAGCCTAAAATACAACAAAACATGGCAACAGCTCTGCCAACATTCCCTTCCTTCGATCCCAACGCGGACCAGGGAGCAACCGGCGTAAGATTTAAGAAATACATCTCTCGTTTTCGAAATTTGATAGTCGCTACAGACATCGATGATCCCAAACGTCAAAACGCGCTCTTGTTACACTACATCGGTGAAGAAATCAATAATATCTTTGAAACACTCACAGTCAGTGCACCGGCTGAAGGAGAAGCAGTTCTAGACGTCACAATTAAAGCACTATCTGAATACTTTACACCGAAGCAAAACCCTGTATTCGAAGAATATAAATTTCGCAACGCCAAACAAACCCACGACGAAGCTCTTATGACGTACTATACACGACTCAAACAACTTTCACTCACCTGTGAATTTCACGATGCCGATTGCGAAATCAAATCTCAGATCATCCAACACGGCCGCTCGCAACTACTTCGACGAAAAGCTTTAATCGATCCAACTATAACCCTGGCAAAACTTCTAGAAATGGGTAAAGCGGCGGAGCTAGCCGACTCGCAAGCAGCGAACTTAGAACGAACAGAGAACGTCAGCCATTTCACAGCCGGAAGTAGCAAATACCACAACAAAGCACGCTTCCAACCCCGGAGCCCCGGTACCAGGGTGAAATGTCGTAATTGTGGAGGCACATACCCGCATGAAGGCGGAAAAACCGCTGTGGAAAACTTAACCACTTTCAGTCCGTATGTATCCAAGACAGACAACACTCAAACCCCACCAAACTACGTCAGCGACGCTACCCGCAAACAGCCGAACGACAGGACGTCCGAGCGATGGACAACATCGCAGAAACTGACTACAGCGATCACAGCGACGAAGTTGGCGTGTTCCGAATCAACGTCAACAACATGACTTCGGATCGCAACAAACACCCATTATTTGACGTCACCATCGAAGGAACACTGCTGACCATAATGGCAGACTCGGATTCCAGTATCAGCATTCTGGATGAGCAAGATTACAACAAGCTCTCCCCACGACCGAGTTTGGAGCAAACACGCATCAAAGTTTATCCTTACCAGACCGAGACACCCCTACCCGTCCTTGGGCAATTTACCTCCACCGTCGCATCGGAAATAGTCAACCGCACAGAGACATTCTATGTTGTGAAAGGAACCAGTGGGTCATTGCTTAGCTGGCGCACTTCTACCGACCTGCAGCTTCTCAAAGTCGTAAAGCCCATTACACATCAAAACATTCCCACCGTTGAACAGCTCACCACCCACTACCGCACTTGTTCCAAGGACTCGGCAAGTTGAAAGATTATCACGTCCAGCTTCATATTGACGAAGGTGTACCACCAGTTGCCCAACCACACCGACGCGTGCCGTTCCATGTGCGCAAACAACTTGAGGAACAGCTAAGTCAGGACGAAAAACTGGGTGTAATCGAACGCGAGGAGGGCCCAACACCCTTGGTATCGCCCATTGTTGTGGCACCAAAGCCCAAGTCACCCGGAAAGGTCCGTGTATGCGTTGACATTCGTCGTGCAAACACAGCAGTCCAGCGTGAACGCCACATCACCCCAATGATCAAGGAAATCATCGGCGATTTGAATGGTGCAACTGTCTTTAGCAAACTCGACCTCAACCAGGGTTACAACCAACTAGAACTAGCCCCGCTCCACTAAAGTCTTATTTGCTATTATATTTATTATAATAATAAGTGATGAAATATTTCAATTGTCCCGTGTCATCTTCATTATTCAGTTCCTTTCAAGGAAATCCAAAATGTGAATCAACTTTTTTCGCAGATACATGTACGCTTTGCGTACCTATTTTTCTTATAGCTATGGAACCAGACAAATCAACAAACCTCACCGTCATTAACATCACGTCTAGAAGTGCTAAAATATCTTGGCAAGATCCTAAATGTCATGGGATAAATTATTTGTATCGCTTTCGGATTAAACTGAAGAAAGAAAACTCTCTAATCCTGAACTAATGTTCACACAGGAAGAGTGATGAATATGAATTAAATAAAAAATCTCACCCCGTATACTACATATGAAATATCTGTAGCTGCTGGAAGTTATAATTACTGATGAATTTGGTGAAGAGACTATTACTTCGTTCTTAACATCTGAACAAGGTGAGTGTTGAAAGATTTGTGTTTTACTGCAAGACAAAACATTGTTCCTTTATAGTCTATATACACTCAAAATTCTCCTTCAGTAACATAACATTTAAATATAAACATCTGCTTATATATACACTTTAGTTCCAAGCGGTCCTCCATTGAACATCAAAACCACATCAAGAAGTGCATCGTCATTGTCTTTCGCTTGGGATCCTCCTGAAAAGACTAAACAAAATGGCGTCATTATCAGTTACACAGCGTGTTTTTCACATTCAGAAAATGGTCCTTGCTTTCAGACATTCATCACAAGTGAAAGAAAGTGGCCCACCGTTGAACAGCTCACCACCCACTACCGCACTTGTTCCAAGGACTCGGCAAGTTGAAAGATTACCACGTCCAGCTTCATATTGACGAAGGTGTACCACCAGTTTCCCAACCACACCGACGCGTGCCGTTCCATGTGCGCAAACAACTTGAGGAACAGCTAAGTCAGGACGAAAAACTGGGTGTAATCGAATGCGAGGAGGGCTCAACCCCCTTGGTATCGCCCATTGTTGTGGCACCAAAGCCCAAGTCACCCGGAAAGGTCCGTGTATGCGTTGACATGCGTCGTGCAAACACAGCAGTCCAGCGTAAACGCCACATCACCCCAACGATCAAGGAAATTATCGGCGATTTGAATGGTGCAACTGTCTTTAGCAAACTCGACCTCAACCAGGGTTACAACCAACTAGAACTAGCCCCGGAATCCAGGTACATTACCACCTTCAGCACCCACCCCGGGCTCATGCGCTACAAGCGACTCAACTTTGGAATATGTTGTGCCGCCGAAATCTTTCAGAACTCCATTCGCGAGAGTCTTGACGGCATCCCGGGCGCAATCAACATCATACTCGTTTTTGGCAAGACCCGGAAGGAGCATGATCAAGCACTCGCAGCAGTATTTCAGCGGCTTCGAGAATGCGGGCTGACCTTGAACAAACTCAAGTGCGAGTACAGCAAGAACAGCCTTGAGTTCTTCGGGTACGTTTTTGGTGCAGATGGCATGGCCCCTGATCCAAAGAAAGTCCAAGATATCCTAAACCTCAAAGCCCCAACGTCAGTCACAGAAGTCCGTAGCCTGCTAGGCATGACCAACTGCTGTGCACGATTCATCGAGGGATATGCCACAATTACTGAACCTCTGCGAGCCCTTACCCACTAGAACCATGCCTGGGAGTAAACGGACAAGCAGGAACATGCCCTGGCCCAGCTCCGGCATGTGTTGGCCAATGCACCTGTCACAGCGTACTTCAACCCTGAGAAAACAAATGAAATCTCTGTTGATGCAAGCCCGGTTGGGCTGGGCGTCATCTTAGCGCAAATCGATCCCACAACCAAAGTCAAGCGTCCCTGACCACCACCGAGCAACGCTACAGCCAGACTGAGCGCGAAGCCCTCGCTGTAGTATGGGCATGTGAACAGTTTCACCTCTACATTTACGCCAAGCCAGTCAATGTCTACACAGACAACAAGCCCCTCGTTGGTATCTATGGCAACGCGAACTCGAAACCACCTGCTCGTATCGAAAGATGGGCACTCAGACTTCAACCATACCAGACCACCGTGCATTACCGAAAAGGAGAAGAAAATCCTGCAGACCATATGTCTAGGCACCCTTCCAGTCACACCGAACCCTGCAGCAGACAGGAAAAAGTTGCAGAAGAGTACATTAACTACATTGCCACAACTTCAACGCCAACTGCAATCACCCTCAGCATGATTGCAGAAGCCACAGGACGTGACCCAACCCTCCGTGCCGTCATAGACGCCTTTCAATCAGGCAAGTGGCATGAACTAGCCAAGCATCCAAAGGTCGACACTGACACATTTCACACATACGAACGCCTCAAAGATGAGTTAACCGTTGGAACAACAACCCAAGTAATCATTCGCGGAACGAAATTAGTGATTCCAAACAAGCTACAACGTCGCCGCGTGGTGGACTTGGCTCACGAAGGTCACCAAGGCATTACCAAAACCAAATCCCTACTACGAGAGAAGGTGTGGTTCCCTGGAATCAACAAAATGGTCGAAGAACGAGTTAAATCCTGTCTCGCATGCCAAGTTGCAACCCTGGAGGCAGCACGTGAGCCGTTACAAGTGTGTACTCTGCCCGATCAAGCGTGGGACGAGATAAGCGTTGACTTTGCTGAACTCTCGACAGGGGACTACCTCTTGGTGGTATCTGACGACTACTCACGCTATCCAATTGTTGAAGTTATTTGGGACACTTGTAAGTCCAAAATAAGTTATTTGGGACACTTGTGTAGTCCATCTCTCTGAAAAGGAAAAACTTTTGGTTCTGGCCATGGTTTTTTTATTAGTTCCGGCCGCAACTATGAAAAATCAGGGTTCCGGCCGCAACAGCGTTCCAGTGCACCCCTAACATTGGCAGTGTAAACAACAAGTGGCAGAACTTTTGCTTCATATGATTACAATAAAGTTTTGAAACTTCATGGTTTGACAAGTGACAGTTTACTAAATAGCCGGCTGTTGGCTGGGGGGGGGGGGAGAGCATTTGTTATTGCTGCCCAACCACACCGACGCGTGCGGTTCCATGTGCGCAAACAACTTGAGGAACAGCTAAGTCAGGACGAAAAACTGGGTGTAATCGAATTCCGAGCCGAAAAGAATGAAAAAGTAATTGATGCATCATTTATTAATTAGATCTTTTACTTTCGCTGTCAGTAGAGCACACTCTACTGTAGTTCATCACGATATTATTTTTTTGTAACGAGTATTTATTACAATTTAAACATTATATTTTGACCTCTTTCGTATCTAGTTTTGTTGCCTATAAATCTCACCGTCACTAACATCAAGCCTAGAAGTGCTGAAATTGTAATATAATCTGATTGCTAATGATTATTTAATTAATTATTGTTGACACTATGATCTAAGACCTTGAGAGCCTAGATATTGTTATAGACAGTTGAACTAGAGACACGTAAGCAGTAACACCTATATGTATAATACTATAGCAGTTATAAATAAAAGACTAGAACTTATTACATGGTGTCAGGAGTGAACGACACTCACGAGTAAAACACGACTAATGGCATCTGGCAGCATTCAGTGGGCAGCACCCAAACCATTGCATTTGGAGGGCAACGTAAGCGAGAATTTTCGCAAGTTCGCGGAGCACTGGACGCTATTCGAAAAAACAGAACTCAAAGGAAAGTCAGAAGAGGAGAAATGTTCTTATTTTTTGCTATGTATAGGAGAAAAAACGAGAGAGGTACACAAAACTTTAGCTTTCTCAACCCCAGAAACGTCAACAAACACCGAAGGTGCGACAGTTTGGAAGAGAACAACTCAGGAACTTAAAACAGCTTTTAAAGCATACTGCAACCCGAGGAAAAACCTGACATTTGAACGACATAAATTCAACACCCGTAACCAAGACGAGAATGAAACTATTGATCAGTATGTCACCGCTTTACGTACTTTGGCAGCAACCTGCGAATTCGAAAGTCTACACGACGGCTTGATACGCGATAGAATCGTTTGCGGTATTAAAGCACAAACCCTGAAAGAACGTATGTTACGCGAGAACGATTTGACCTTACAGAAAGCTATAGATATATGCCGCGCTGCAGAGACATCTCGAGATCAACTAAAATCGTTGTGCGGCGGTGAGAAGAAAAACATCATTGATACTTTAGGACGAGATCGACGAAACCGCTACACTCACGAAGCGTCCCACCAGAAATCCAACAACTGTGGACGATCTCATGCACCCAAAACCTGTCCAGCGTACGGCAAACCTTGTAATCACTGTCATAAGTTAGGACACTATGCCAAGTTTTGTCGCTCGAAGACAAAACAAAACAAACCAGTGAATGATATCGAAGTAGACAGCGACGTATCTGAGCACGGTATTGATACGGTTCAAAGCCCCACTATGCAAGAGAATGGACACGCCACACTGAAAATTAATTATAACAATACGTCAGTGCGACTAAAGCTCGATTATGGCGCGGAAACGAACATTCTCACTCATCATGATTTTCTGAAAGTTATACCAAAACGTCAGCTAAATAACAAACTCAAACGCAGTGCTGCAAAATTGACTGCGTTTGGTGGACATAACATTCGTGTGCTAGGAAAATGTTATCTTCGCTGTCAATACAAAAACGTAACACAGATTCTCGAGTTCCATGTTGTCGAAAGCGGTTCATCTCTTTTGGGTTGTACCAATTTGCAAGAGCATTAAACTTGTATCATTCCACAACGTGAATCAACTCAACAACGAAGCATCGAGTCCCGGGACGGCAAAAAGCGCACTCACGGGGCTAACGAGTGAACAAATATTTGACAAATATGCCCCTTGTTTTGAAGGTATTGGCAGAATATCCGAACCATATCACATCAAGATTGATGATAGCGTCACACCGGTAGTTCACCCGCCTCGTAAGCTTCCGGCAACATTACGAGATCGAGTTCAAGCAGAACTTTTCGATATGGAGAGGAAAGGCATTATAAAAGCAGTTAATGAGCCAACCGCGTGGGTAAACTCGATGGTCGTAAATGAGAAACGGTCCGGACGACTCCGAATTTGCATCGATCCTCGAGATTTAAACAAGGCGATTCGCAGAGAACATTATCAATTACCTACACAGCAGGAAATCACTAGTCGCTTGACAGGTGCGAAATTCTTTAGTAAACTCGATGCAACGCCTGGATTTTGGCAAATGCCGCTCGATGACGAAAGCTCGTATCTCACGACGTTCAACACACCATTCGGGCGTTATCGCTTTACTGTTGTTCCCTTTGGCATGGTCTTCGCGCAAGAAGTTTTCCACAAAACGGTCCACGAGAAATTCAACGATATTCCTGGCTGTGTAACTGACATCGACGACATTCTCATCTGGGGACGCACAATCGACGAACACGACTTACGTCTCGAACAGGTTCTAAATCGCGTCAAAGAAATAAACATGACTTTGAGTCAAGAAAAATGCCAGTTTCGTCAAACGGAAGTTACCTATCTCGGTGAGAGACTAACTCAAGAAGGCGTTAAGCTGGATGGCGCCAAACTTAAAGCGATAAGAGATTACGTCAAGCCCACCAACAAACTCAAAGCCCAGGCAACGAATGGCGTCAGACCAAGCTGCATGGAGACAGTGAGCTCCATATATATCTGAAGCGAGAACCCAAGTTTGCTCCTAAAGTCTCTGACGTCACCGCCCCCCCTACGCGAATTAATCAAGAAAAATGTCGCATTTCACTGGCTAGACACACATGACAGGGCGTTCGGAGAACTGAAACGCGTTTTAACGGACTCTGAAACCCTGCGATATTATAATGTGACGAAAGGGGTAACTCTGCAAGTCGACGCATCACAGCACGGGCTTGGTGCAGCTTTACTTCAGGACGATGGCCCTGTCGCATTCGCCTCTAGAGCCATGAATGATACGCAGCGACGGTATGCTCAGATCGAGAAAGAGCTACTGGCTATTGTGTTTGGCTGTAAACGGTTCCACCAGTATGTTTATGGCAAGACAATCACCGTGGAAACCGATCACAAACCGCTAGAGAGTATTTTCCGCAAACCGTTATCGCAAGCACCCAGCAGACTTCAGAAGATGCTCATGCAAATCCAAGAGTATGATATCAATCTCGTGTACAAGAAGGGCTGTGAAATGTACCTCGCTGATGCGCTTTCGCGCGTTTTTCCCCCAGAAATCGTTCACAAACAGTTCGAAGCAGACATAGACTCGGAACGTTTTGTTCATTTAATGTCAATCGAGTCCTATGTTACAGATCGCGAAATACAAGCTATTCGCTCGGAGTTATCTACGGACCAGACGATGCAATTACTTCAACAGCAAATTCAAACCGGCTGGCCAGAACACAGATCTCTCGTTCCGCCAGATATTCGTGCATATTATCAAGATCGACACGAACTGACAACGCAAGATGGGCTAATTTATAAAGCTCATAACATATTGATTCCTCCTAAACTGCGTAGAGATACTCTTACCAAGTTGCATCAGTCGCATCAAGGTATGGAGAAAACGAAAGTCTAGCTCGAGAAAGTATATATTGGCCCGGTATGAACGCCGAGATTGACAACGTGGTATCCAGCTGCGAGACATGTCAAACCAACAGCAACGCCAATACACGCGAGAAACTACAACCCCATCCCGTTCCCAGTCGACCATGGCAACAAATTGGAACTGATTTGTTCGAGTGGAAAGGTAAACCTCATCTCGTTATCGTAGATTACTACAGCCGTTATCCCGAAGTCGCTGAACTCAGGGACACCAAAGCTCGAACAGTTATAGCAAAAACTAAATCTATCTTCAGTCGCCATGGTATTCCGGACAACGTCATCTCTGACAATGGTCCCCAATACTCGTCAGATGAATATCGCCAGTTCTCGCAAGATTACGACTTCCAACATACCACCATTAGCCCCCGATACCCTCAATCTGGAGGGTTACATGAGAAAACTGTCCAAACTGTTAAACGTATCTTGGAGAAGTGCGCAGCAACCCAACAAGATCCCTACCTTGCCCTACTCGACTACAGAAATACTCCTATCGATGGAGTCAGCCCAGCTCAAGCCTTGATGAGCCGAAGACTTCGCTCCACCCTTCCTGTCGCCACCACAAAGCTCGACCCTTCGCTGATCAACAGCTCCACTTTTCGGTCTTCCCGAGAAAATGAGCAAGAACGACAGCAAAAGTATTTCAATCGAAATGCAAAGAATCTTCCTTCGTTAGCAATAGGCGAGACTGTGTGATTCAGAAAAGATCCTGATTCAAAGTGGACGCTGGCTACCGTTGTGGAGAAATTATCAACTCCGCGAAGTTATCTACTCCAAGCTGAAAATGGATCAAGATATAGAAGAAACAGAATTCATATACGCAAGACTAACGAGAGACCTCTACAAACAGACAGTCCAGACCAAGTGGAGAATCTTATGCCAACAACCATCACCGAAACACAACCAAAGGTACCGAGCACGAGCACCCCAACTAACCCTTCCACAACGCAGGCTACCAAGAAAACAAGTCGCTATGGAAGATTGATCAACCCTAATCCAATATATAAAACTTAAGACTTTCAGTACAATAGTTTTAAGAACCACATCATAATGACTGATCGCAATCAAAGTTATATTTGAGTTTTGTTATGTTTTAATAGGATAAATAAATTTAATCAATTTAATCTGAAAAAGGGAGATGTAATATAATCTGATTGCTAATGATTATTTAATTAATTATTGTTGACACTATGATCTAAGACCTCAAGTGCCTAGACATTGATATAGACAGTTGAACTAGAGACACGTAAGAAGCAACACCTATATATGTATAATACTATAGCAGTTATAAATAAAAGACTAGAACTTATTACAACGACAATTTTGGAAATTTAGTTACAAGGAAAATTTTATTCAGTGGGTAAAAGTCGGGTAAATTTCTTTCTGGCTCCCTGATTTTTTCCCGCCCGTACGCCTATGACGGCTGAACTAATTTCATTCAGGGGCGGATCTAGGGGTAGTCAGATTAGTCACGCGACTAACGTAAAAAAAAGGCATGTAAAAAAATTTGGACTAAGGTTTTTGAATTTTTTCACAGCGCAAACGCTTCTCTTCATTTCTGATCAGGGCGCTTATATAGAGGACGGTGAAACGGCTATAGGCGCGCCGATGGATGTGTGATGCAATGAACTGGTAACGAGTTTGTTGTGGTTACTATGGCGACGTTGTCTTATATGGCAAGGATAAATATGGCGGGAAAACTGAGCTGGAAGTTTTGACTGTTTTGTAGTCAAGTTTTGATGA